ATATATATATATATATATAGCTAAAGTTTGGAATTCTTCCTCTCTCTCTAAAGCTAGATTCTAGAATTCTTAATATGAACATAAAGAACTACCATTTGAAACAAACCACACAAAAGCGCGTTTCTGCTTATGGTTTTCCCCTTGTTAATTGGGAATGATTTTTTAGGATTAGGTTATATTATGGAAATTGCATGATTGCATTCCAAAAATTTAAAATACTAAAAATTTGAATCCACTCTCTCTCACAAAAGAATCACTACGTTGCGTTTTCCGCGAAACTATAGAATCTTTGTAGATACTACTTCTTTATATTGTTTGAAACAGCGAAGATATTCAAGATGGTAATTGCTTCATCTTGTAAATAAATAAGTCAAGAATGTGTGAATTTAGATTCAATTGAAAACAATAGTGAAAAATAAAGTTTGTGTTGTCAATCGTTATCAAGTGTCGACCAACGTAAAAATACTCAGTGACAAGAGTGGAAGTGTTTCAACGTTGATTCTCAACATTATCGTCAATATAGCACTGTTAGTAACGAGAATGTAATTAGAGAGGAACAAGAGGTTCACAAGCGTTGAATTCAAATTTACCTTTGCTTTTTTCGACCCGGTCGAAGTTGTCGAAATCGCACATCGAAGATCTCGCGAAGAGAGAATCTTCTGAATTGGCTCGCGTAAAGCGACGGGTTAAACGATATCCTGCGACATTTAGAGGGCGATTAACCTAACATCCTCGCGGATTAATACATAACAGCCTTCGGCTGGAGCTACCAACGGGAGTGGTGCGAGATATATTTCTTGCTGTGTCGTTTTCTCGGCTGTGTAACCCTCTTTGGAACTTTGGAATCTATTTGTCGTTCTTTGCTTCTTTAATCTTGCTGCACGACTTTCTCTCAAATACACTCACACGCATACGTACACATACAGAGTTCATGATGATCATCATTGATACATCATTAAACGAATTTTGATATCTCACTCACGTGGAACGCCAATCGATCGTGCCGCGAAGCCTCACCGAGGCGACCGTCATTAATAATAATTGGGAACGATTACACGTCAGAGTGAAGGACTTCTCGGGATTTTCAATCAATCAATCAATTCGTTCGACCGGATCTTCACGCTTGCTTCTTCGCGGTTCACATACGTGCCTGTCGACGTTCTCCAGCCGGGAAAACTCCCTTCCTCTGTGCATGATGATGATGATAATAATAATGATGATAATGATGATGATGATGTTCTTGCTAATTGATAATTCTGTGCCTCCTTATCTTGATGATAACGATGACTGATTACCACTGTTGTATGGGTGATTCTAGTGGGGCCTGTGTTCGGGGGCCGATGCGGCGCGGAGGCGCTCGGTCTGGGGCTGGGGCTGTCGCCGGGCCCGGCCTACAGGTTCGCTCTGCCCCCGGGACTCGCTGCCAAGACCACCCGCTGCCTTGTATTCGACCAAGGTAGGCCTACCAGTCATCTTCATTGCCGCGACCGTCGGTCGTCTTTGACCCTGTCGGTGCGTTTTCTTCCTCGAGCCGTTCGCGTTATAGCTTGATCGTTCCGCAAGACGGAGGTACATCATTGAAACAATTTAGACGAATCTAGACCAATCAGCCGGTTTTGCCTCTTTAGAATTCTTGACGCCCGTCGCAGAAAATTATCGCGATTGCATTGCCAATTAATTTCTCCTTTTTTCTTTGATCTGACAAGTTGAACGAACCTTTTCTTACTTCTGTGCTTTTTATGACTTTTCATCGTTTCTGAACTGAAATGTACACGATCCATTCGAAGGATAATAAAATTTGGTTTTACACATTAAGGAAGTTCAATTCGTTAAAGAGCATTGATTTATTCTTCAATAAACATTTTTGAACCAAAGAATTCAGGAGGTTAAGCTTTTCTCTGGTGGTTGATGAATATATGAGATCTCTTTCATCACCGAAAGGGTTAATGACGTACTGATACGACGACGTTTTTTATCTGCGAATACAGTTAATCGCACAATTAAATTCGCAATTTTATCTACGATTTTATGATTATGAAAGATAAATAAGATGAGAGATGAATCGCGGGAAAGTCTGGCGGGTTATCCCGAGATTTTTCTATCTCGTTTAAACACAAACTGGAGAAAGTATCAGCGCGACTAAAACTCGCTCGAAATACGGAGACTTGTTCTCGACTTACGCCGCGGTCAAATATTTCCGAGAGGGAAAGAGGGGGAGAGAGAGAGACCGGACGAATGAAAGCATAATTAACGTGAAGAACGAACTGTTCGCGTCGATAATCAGATCCGAAATGCATAATTAATTTTCGTTAAATAGCATCTAGTTGCATCGGTAATTTTCGGCGAATCGCGTAATGAAAAAATAATAATAACAGGTAATTTGATCGGACCAATTTCGCGATAAGAGTAATTTTAATTTAATTATATTGATTACAATTTAGTTCGATTCATCACAATCATTAAAATTTATGAGGTTATTTCAACCGAATTATTTTGATTAAATTAACATTACTTTATTTGCAGTCATTATATACGCGGTCGATTATTATTTATCGTTTGAAAGAAATAACGAGCGAATTCGAGTCGAGCCGTGTCAAGAAGTCGTGCTGCAAATTATTCGCGGCAAATGCGAAAAGAGAATTACCGCGGGAATTATATTCCGCAGCGGCGGCAGAAAGTAACTCACTTCCGCTTCTCACATCTTTCACTCTACACACAAGAAATGACCCTTCAATGAGAAGCGGGTTTACAAAATTCAACTCGTAAAATCGCGACACAACATCCACTTATTCGCGTCTGAACAAATTTTGTAGATTAGGTATTTTTGACATGTATTTAAACGTTAAAAGTACGCCTTTTTTATTCCAAGTTTCGTTTTTCTTACACGAATTTTTCGTATAATGTTGTTTAGATTGAGAATCCGAAAAACATACTTAAAGCTCCTGATCATTCGCCTTGAGTTATGAGAGCCAGAAGAGCGAGAAAATACATGCTCAAAATTCTCGCAAAGTACATCGAAATAAAAAGATATCCAAAAAATAACTCTTGCAATCGATTAAGCGCGTTTCTAAAATACTCCGAACATTCCTCTGTCTCTAATCAATAAATAATCGTAAAATTGCAACCTGCCTTTTTAACCTACATTCCCTCGTTATTTCGTCGCGTTAACTTTACAATTATTTATTGATTGTTAGAGCAAGAGGAAAATATTTTTAGTGACGTGATTAATCGATTGCAGGTGTCAATTTGTAGATATATCTTTTTATTTCGACATACTCTGTTGGAACTTTTAACGTGCATTTCCTCGTTTTTGACGTCATCAGTTAGGAATTCCGCGACGCATAACCAAGAGCCTTAACGTACGAAACCAGGACGCGGCTCTTGAATTTTTCTGGCCAAATGAGCGCTCGGATGATTTCGTCACAACACTTCGTGTTCGCGTTGTGATGCATCAGGTGCGCAGGGCATCTGGCGAAAGGCCCCGGCGGCGGGCGTTACGGCGGGTCTTAGGAGATTTGTGGACAGGAAGATGAGCATAGCTCGTGGGCTTAGTCCGTGCAAACGCGCAAGTCGATCTGGTAGCTGGATTTGCGGGATCGATGGACCGCCACCGCCGTCGCCGTCGCCGCGCTACGCCGACCGGCACGCGGCTAACTCGCGGGAACGCGCGAACAGACGGATCGATAGCTCGACCTGCCGCAGCAGCGGCGCGGCGTACTCCCCCGACTTAAGCCCGAAATCGATCGGAATCAGTAGTATCTACCTTAGCCGTTCCCTGATTCCGCCCTGTTAATTGGCCGGCTCTCTGCGTCCCGCAAGATTAATGACTTTCATAAGGTGAATGCACCGGTATCTGACGCTTTGAGCCAGTGATTCTCAGCCGTAGGGTCTGCCTCTTTGGACGAGTCTGCGACTCGCCGCGAGGAGAAAAGGATTCGTATCCTTGGAACATCAGTTTTTTAAGGCTTAAAAGGAATAAGAGAATACTGCTTTACCGGCAAAATATTTATTTCTTTTTTTTCTGGAAAGTTTACGCTATGTTGGTCACTCAAAACATTCTTTCGCTGGTCCAGGTGGAATTTTAGTCACAGTTAAAATTGATCGCTGTTTTTCTTCTGTATCTGCCAGGAAATTATCTGCAATACGTGGAACTTAGCAGCAGCAGCATTTTAACGATATCTGTAAGCAAATTTCGGTGGATGTGAGGATTATATTAGATTGTTGCATAATTTCTGTCGTGTTTTTAAATGAGATAAAAATTGATACAGTTTTAAAAATAATTCACTTAATTACCGATGTATTGACCATTATTATCTAGAATTTGTAAAGGTGATATGTAACCAGAATTCGTGCTCGTTCTTACATATACAACAGTAATATTGCATCGCCATTTATTTAACGGTCGATTGTACAATTGGTGCGATCTAGATAGCGCCGGAAGTGGAGAACAGTGGCTAATTGTGGAGGATAAGTGGTGACACGTTCGGAGTATCGCGGTATCGCGCGCGTATATATCCCAGATTTTTCATGACACGCGCCTAACGGTAATTCCCAGTTTTACTACCGTGAAAAGTGCGTGTTTGCTGTCGGTTTAGCGGACTCGCTAAAGCTTGACTGACGTCGCGCTAATTTGGACCAGATCACGAGCGACTAGATATGGAACGCGTTTAGAGATTTCCGTAATAACGATTACATTATTGGCTCTAAATGTCTTACAATTCTTAGCTATTTTATCGTTAAACTGTGCATTTTTACCCAGGCGATGATATCTGAAATGTATTGCTTTGTCACTATCGACCCTTTATTCCTTTGAAGCTAGTAATATTATAAAAAATCAATGTAAAACATTTTATGACAATGTATAACATTTTATGAGGTAGTTAAAATATCAACTACAAACTTATAAGAGTTAAACAAACACTAATTAATCTAATAAAAACGATAGGAAAGTGGATAAATAACAATCTTCTTTTTCCGTACACAATCTCTTTATTGTTATTATCTACTGGCGTTAAAAATTTCGATAAGATTAATAGTCTTATTAATAGTCGTTACTTGAAACGTATCTTAGGCGAGATATTCGGATTTGTGAATTTAAAGATAGATGTGAACCTTTCAGCTGAATCAAACATAATGTCGCATATATAATGTAATTCAAGTAAAAAATTCACAACCAACTCTAAACTCATATTTGCATATCTTACATGAGCTGAAGATTGAAGTAACGACTATTAATATGGACATTAGAGATCCAAAAGAAGTGAAAGAAAGAAAGTTTAAAACCTCGACTGCTGCTGCATCCTGTGTTCTACATTCCGTCCTGGAGTCAGCTTCTGGTAGTCAAGCACTCAAAGTACGGATCGATCGGAAAGACCGCATTAATTAATGATCACACGTTAATGTTAAACGATCGTTGAATATTACGAGTGACACTTTCGGCGCGTATGTGCCGAACCGTTCTCTGACAGTTTAATAATTCGATAATTTGATCATCTTGACAGTCGGAATATTTCGTGAACGTTGATTGTCGTGATTTCTCGGCTACCGGATATGTTTTGTTTACCGAGCGATAGCGCCTCGCACTAGGCGGCGCGTGCTTTTGTCCAAAGTGTCGATTGTTTTGATTCCACGACTCGCGTGGTTTTTGTAACAGTCTCGAGTCATAACGTCTCGAGCCGACGAGCGAGGCGCACGTCGCGACGCGGAGCACGTGTATCGTTATTTACACTTGCCGTCGGGAAACTATTTCGTCGACTATTGAGACATTTCGTCGCGCTCGCGTCGGCATCGCGTTAGTTAACCCTTTTGCTACCAAATTTTGCTCTTTAAAAATACAACTATTTTTAATTTCACTTCATTAAATACGTTAACATAATGTAGTTTTGGCCAAAAAATTTAAAGTTTTATGTTTGACGCTAAAGGGATAGACACTGATATCCTATTGAGACTTTTGGAAGGGCGCATTTGTCCCAACGCAATGATAGTGTTCAGAATGCTAAAAAAAGTTGTTTATCGAATAAAATTATTATTAATGATGAGAAAAACTATGTCTCATTGATAGCGAAAGGGTTAACACGTTCCTTCGATCAAACCGTACTTAGGTCTGGCTCCAACCTAGTGATAAGTTAACTAACAGTTGTAACATGTGCCAGTCTTTATTTAAAAAATTATTTTATTTTAAATTTGTTTATTTTGAAAAGAAAGACGGGTATATGATTTAAGTGTTAGTTGACTCACCACTCGGTTAGTGTAATCGGACTTTAAAGACTGCGTCCCGTAATACGCGTATGCGTGTATTTTCTACAATGTATGTAACGTGAACTATAGATGAATGCACGCGTATGCATATACAGAACGCAGTCAGAGTGTCAGTGATAGTGCAAGTGCCATGACGGAGCGGTCAGGATGAGTGCCAAGACGCAGGACGCCGGGACGCTAGTAATGATACGTCATATT